TGCATTTTGTTTAGCAAATTATGAGGGGTTTTGTTTGTTTGTTTAAGCAAATTAGTGGTATAGATCACTTGAAATGATATTCCAGTTTTCCTGAGAGGTCGTTATCCTTCTAAAAAGTAAGGTTATGACTACCCAGAGAAAGTAGCTTAATCACCAGTAGGTTCTGACTGGTGATATTTACAAGGGCTTAACTTTGCTATGCTGCACTTGAAAATGACCCTGAGAACTATGAACTTCTTACACGGGGTTTTCAGATGGGAAAAGGGAGGCATTCCCCCCCCCCCAGGTTTCTTACTCCCAGGTGAAGAGATTTGGGCTAATTTTACAAAAAGGTCAGTAGCACAACTGGACTTGAAATGTAGAAGTCTTGACTCAAAGTTCTATGTTTATTTTGCAGTCTTTTTTTTTTTTAATTATGTAGTAAGTTTAGTAAGAAGCTGGAAAAATGAATATTATGTCTGAATATTTAGCAAGATTGATGATTACCATAATTGCCTCCTTTTCAGAAGTAAACTGGTTGTTTGAAGTGACTTGTTTGAAGTGAGTAGTTTTATTAATAAAATCAGGCTGGACATAGCGGCTCACGCCTGTGTTCCTAACACTCTGGGAAGCTGAGGCGGGAGCTCAGGAATTTGAGACCAACCTGAGTAAGAGAGAGACTGGATCTTTATTAAAAGTAAGAAAAAAGTTTGCTGGGCATTGTGGCAGGTGCCTTGTACTTGGGCAACAGAGTGAGATTCTGTCTCAAAAAAAAAAAAAAAAGAAAAGAAAAGAAAATGTATTTATGTCTATAAAATAAATCATATAATTTTGATCCCTTGGTCTCTACTGGCCTGCCTATAAGGATAGGGTGTCTAACATGATAATTCTGGTTACTTTAAATTATGAGATGTGGCAGAGGGTGTACTAATAACAAAATGCTCTCACGGTGGCATCTCCACATTGTGATTTTTTCCAGAGGATGAGGGCTCCTTACCCACCCCCCAAATTTATCTTTCACTGACAAACCTATTTACCACAACTAAACTTTTAAAGGTTCAGACCATCTTGTATGTTACAGAGAAGCTCGTTCATACCATCATCTACCTTGGTGAGGACTGAGGGCTGAGTGCTGGATGAATGGAGGTAGGATTCCTTCTGAGCACCATGGGAGAACCAGACGCTAGGGGAAGTGAAGTTTTGGGGAGGGAAAGGAAAGGGATA